CCTGCTGCCTCCCAGTCTGGAGGCTAGCTGAAGCTGGTGGCTTTGCTGAGTTTCCCCCAGTGTGGTCTATGATAATTGCGGCGCCTGGCTCCATACACACCTGAAAGGCAAACAGCATGTTTCCCTGGCAACAAAACCTTATTGGAGTTGTAGGAGAGCAAGACGGACGTGCCCAGAGAGTCATTTTGAAAGCACTTGCTAAAGGTCTGGGGGAAAGCAGTCTGTGGTACAGAAAGCAGCTGATCTGGAACGGCCCAGATGCTAAAAGCAACAGCTGAGAAATGAGACTAGCAGGGTTTCTTATTTCCAGGGGTCATCTGTAGCGGCCTAGGCCTTCACATGGGGTCACAGGCCCCATGGAGAGCCCACCAAAGATGGTGAAGAGGGGGAATCTTCACTACTATCACTGAGGGGGAGGAAGGGGAATCTCTACCACAGTTACAATGTGAGACCCTGTGGGGGAAAATGCACCTGTCTGGGGCTAGCGCTGGAGGATGCAGCCTTAGTGGGGAAAGGGCACTTTGAACGGAAAGACGCCTTTTTCTGGCCATTGCTGCCTCCCTTCCACAAAGGGTAGGTCTGTAGCAAGGTCTTCTGGAAGAGCTGGAGCACCAGAGAGGCATCCAGGCACGATTTAAACACTCCCAGAGAATTCACCACATGCCTCCGGAAGCTGTTGAAATGACCCTCAAACAGACCCCAAGGGTGTGTTTACACTGTGATAGAAGTCCTCTGGCTGGGGCCCGGCCCAGACTATGAGGCTATGAAATTGCAGCGTAGGCCTTTGAGGCTCAGGCTGGAGTCAGGGACCTGAGATTTGGGGTGGGTGGGGAGGAGACAGAAGGCCTCAAAGTCCAGGCTCCAGGCAGAACGTCTACACTGCACGTTTTACCCATGCACCTGAATCAGCAGACGCAGGCCCTGGGACTCGGTGCTGGGGTTTTGTCACAGTGTAGATGTACCTTAACAGTGGTGGAACATACCTTAAACCAGTGCTCCTCTCTCTTCAGGGAGCAGACACCCAGGGCCCAGATCAACCTGAACGGTTTAAAAATCACGACTCAGGCCTTTCCAGAAATTCTAGGTTTATTTTGATAATACTGTGGCTTTTGCCAGGCTTTT